TCCATAGGAATCCGTAGGACTCGCCATTGGAAATAGCTGGGGGGTACCATTGGAAATAAGGGGGGGTGGCATTGGCAAAAGGGGGGGGGAGGGGGGTGCCATTGGAAATAAGGGGGGGTGCATAGGCATAGGCGTAGGAGCGCTCAGAGGTGGTGCATAGGCATAGGCATAGGCATAGGCGTAGGCATAGAAGTTAGGGGGGAGGCATAGGCATAGGCATAGGCATACCCATAGGAATAAGGGGGGGACATAGGAATTAGGGGGGTAACGGACCAACGAGTAGGGTTTGAATTAGAACTCCTGTAGGGCAAGCTTATGTGGAGAATAACTATTGTTGATCCCCCCTCCGGTGACCATCGTGTTTCTTGAATTGAAGTGTCCCCCCCAGTGCCCGCACCCTGCTTGTTATCAGGGAAAGCCACTCGGGTCAAACTGCGTTGTTAGCCCCCGAGCTACAATAACAACGGCTCCCGCGTGATATTTCCTCACAACTTATTCCCAAATCGCGCTCTCGCGCGGGACTTCCTCACAATGTATTCAGGAATCGCGCTCTCGCGTGGGACTTCCTCGCAATTTATTCGGACGCCGCGCCCTCGACATTCAGGAATCACGCTCTCGCTGTGGATTTCCTCACAATTGATTTGGGAATCGAGCTGTCGCTCGAGAATTCCTCGCAATTCATGCAGGACGCACGCTTGAGCAACCTGCCTGCTCGACCTGGCCGCCTGGGCCCTCCTTCCCGACCAGCCTGGTAGGGTCTACCCACCCGATCTGCCCGTCTGGTTCTGCCACGTGCTTTCTGCTCATAGCCCGTGCTCCATCCTCCTCCCTTCCCCTTGTCCTTCCTTCCATCCGTCCTCTCTTCCACTACCTCAGGGGCTGCGCGAAATACACATTGCAGGTAAGAAAGATATACCCCCAAGGGGGTACGGTCGAGGACGAAGAGGGCGGGTATCGAGGGTTCGGGATATTCGTGTTGAGTGGCACGCGAGCAGATAAGAGCGAACAATCTTACAATCATTGTTGTTGTTGCTGCTGCTGCTGCTGTTCTTGGTTCGCTACTTCCCAACCATCCTGTGTGTTGGGTCCTTGTTTTGAAGAGGCAGCGCCCCACGTTCCTCCTCCGCCTCTCCTCCTCCCCCTCCTCCCTCCTCCCATCCTTACACCTGCCCTCCGCGTGCCAACCATTTCGGCACGCCCCTCACGAGGATCGTGGCCCAAAAGCCCAAAAGGGAGCTCCACCGAATGCCACAGTGGCAGGGTTCGCATGGCTGCCTCGGGCCATTTCGGCGCACCCCTCACGAGGAGCGTGGCCCCATAGGGAGCTCCAACGAAGGCCCCGGCGGCAGGGCTCGCATGGCGGCCTCGGGCGATTTGAGCACACCCTCACGAGGATCGTGGCCACACAGGGAGCTTCACCGAATGCCCCCGTGACAGGGATCTCATGGCGGCCTCAGGCGACTTCGGCACACTCCTCGCACGCTTCGTGGCACCACAGGGAGCTCTGGACGACAGCCCCAATGGCAGCGCCCGCATGCGTCCCCTGCTCATTTCGGCACACTCTACGCACGTCTCGGGGCTCCCATCTGCGTGGCCCCGTGCTCCATCCCTGTAGCGGCGCGCTACTTCAGCGGGGCGTATCCTGCGATACTCGCACCTGCATCTGGTTGGGTCCTTCGCCAAGCTGAGTTTCAGGTTGCCGTGCGCGTTTTCGTTCGTCTTCATGGGCAGCACAATCTCATCAACAGAACACCGCCCTTGCTTACGGGGCGTGTGGAGGACTGGCTGTTGGTTTGGAGACGGCTGCTCTGCAGAACTGGGTGTCGTGGTGGAGACGGGGGGCTGCAGGTTCATGCGTGTTGAGTGGGGTACGGAGGCTGTGCGGTGCTGCGCGCTGTGCTGGCGAGGCGGGCGCGGCGGGCGGCAGGCGGCGGCGAGGGGCGACGGGTCGGCTCGGGTCAGTAGCGGAGCTTGTGGAATAGCGGGTGCTGTGTTGGAGACGGGTGCTGTGGAGCAGGGGCTGCACGCGCACGGGGCGAGAGTCGCTTGGAACTTGGGCCGAACAAACCCTCGAAACACCCGTTCTGAACATCGTACAGGTTACAAGCGGAATCGCGTATGAACCGCGACAAGCACGGAAGAGGGGGTCATGGTGAGTGCGAAACCTATCTATGACGAACACATATGTATAGATCTCTCTCTCTCTCTGTCAGTGTAGGTATTCCTCTTCCTATGTTTTTCCAAGCCGGGGGGGTGGGACTCCCCCCCTTACAATGGACACCCAGGATCCAAGGTTTCTGGACCCCCCGGACACCCTTGCCAAAGGCCCCCCGGCTCGTTCCAGACCTCCCAGGACGCTTGGCAGGGTCTTGCCAGTATACCCCAGGCGATCAGAGCGGTGGTCAGAAATGCCGAAGAGAGACCCACAACAGCACACGAGCGCTCCCAGAAGGACGCAGACGGCCTCCAGAGGCCTCCAAGACGGTCCAGGAGGCCCTGAACAGGACTCCCAGAACACAGAAATCACTTCATTCCCTTAGGGGAATGTGCGTTTTCAACATCTTCGCTGTTCGGGTCTTAACAGCGTCCAAACAACCAAAAATGCCTCCGGTATCGCCCCAAGACGGCCCAAGAGACCCCCGAGAGCCGCTAGACGGCCTGGATGGCCCCGAGACTGCCCAAGGAACCCCCTTAATGAGCCAGAAAAAAGCCGAACAAGCCCTCGCAAGGCCCCCAAGCCAAGCCCATGAAGGCCATGGTGGGAGGCCCCCACAAAAGGCCATGGGAGGCCACAGGGGGCGTCCACGTGGCCCCCGTAATGCCCCTAGAAAGCCCGAGCTCCCCAAAGCGGCCCAAGATGGTCCCAGGACGGCTCGAGAGGGCCCCAACCTGGCCCAGGCGGCGTTTTCCACCAGACTGACCCATATCCTGGGTTCGCGACCACATTCCCTGGAAATCTGTTGCGAACCCAGGATCCGGTGCATTCCCCAAGAATTGCTTGCTTTCGCGGGCCCTGTGGCGACCCGCTGCAACATTCCTTGGCTTGACTTTGTTTTGTACTTTGCGGCGTTGCTTGACATTACGTCGGCCAGCTTGGCATTCATTCGCGTGGCTTGCCATCCCTTCGCGTTGCGCACCGGGGCACCTGAGCCACGAGCGGGCAGTGTGCGGGCCTACGAAGGCCTTTCGTCGTCATCCACTGCCAAACACTCCTGCAAGCGCGTGCGTACACCATTCCTGCAAGCGTGTATGTACACACGAAACCATAGCCGTTGGCTTCTGGACAGCGCTCCTCGGTGCGGCGCAAGCGAAAGTCTTCGCCGTCCCCCGACGGCGCCATCTCTTTCCCTCCTCCTACTCCTCCTCTGGGTCCTCCTCCCCGTTTCCTCCTCCTCCTCTGCTCCGCCACTCGTTTTCCTCCACACCCGCTTCCCTCTCCTCGCTCTCCGAGATTCCCTCCCTCCTATCCTTCGCCTTCCACTTGGCGCCTTTCGGGAGCCCCTGGAGGCCCGGGAATGGCCACGAACCGCCCGAACCTTCGAAGACTTCCGAAAACCACCGCAGGGAATGAGCCAAATCACCAAGGCCACTAGGGATGGCGCGAATGACCAACATAAGTAAAGCCTCAAGGACCAAGACTGCATTGGCGCGAAGCGCCAATGCAGTCTTGTTTCTATATATATATACATACACAAATGAATACGTACATATATACATCAAACAAGACAGGGATAGCGAGACAGAGAGAGGATGCGTGAGAGAGAGAGAGAGAGAGAGACATCGATATGACAATATAGCGAGATAGAACAACAGACAGACAGAGGGAGATAGAGATAGGTATAACCATGGGCGAGAGAGAGAGAGAGAGAGAGTGAGAGAGAGAGAGAGACAGAGAGAGACAGAGAGCAGAGAGCCAGAGCGAGAGAGAGAGAGAGAGAGCGGGAACGGCAGGTGTGGCGAGAGAGGGGCCAACTGGCACAGACAGCGGCGTGCGAAAGCAATTGTGCAGAGCACGCCGGCGCCTATCTAAGAGAGGGCAACATGCCAAGCGCCACCTGCAAAGCGTCTACGGAACACGTAGCGAATCCGACGACACCCCCTTCTCGGATGGTAGCGGTGGAGATGCGTGGCACGCCGACCTCCTTGACCCAAGGCAGAACCACTGGCGAGACGCAGGCTTTGAACCTGGGAGAGCTGGGGTTTGTGAGACTCCCGTGGCCATGCCGCGAGCTTCTGGGCCCCGAGTCTTCAGCAAGAGGAGCGCCTGGAGTGGCGCGTCCTGTGGCCCGGCCACGGTGCGCTGGACCCGGGAGGACCAGAGAAGAGAGTCCACCGGCCGTGCCGAGCCGTTGGCTCCTTTTGGACGGCCGGCATCGAGAGAATCTGGCAGCACTGCTGCGCTTTTTGGACGGGGCCGCCTCTGTCCAGATCCGACTGTGGGTCGGGGCCAGGTTCTTGGGCGCTCGTGCCCAGCGCTCTTCGATGGGAAGCTGTCGTTCACCTTTGATGCCTATGGGCCCACGAGAAGTCACCAGCAACACGCTGTCAAGGAAATGCGCCCCGGTGACGTCGCCTGGCGAGGCGCCAACAATATCGCCCCCTACCTACACGATCCCCCTGGACCCCCCCTCTCCTTGACATCCAACGCGGTGGGCTGAAGCAACATTCGGGGAGCAACCAGAAGGTCCAGCCACCCAAAAGCCGCACGGCGCTAAAGAAAATGTAGCCAGGGAACCGTCTTGTGGCATGTCGTCCGTTCTCCCGCTCTCTCCTCCCTCTCCTCCCTCTCCACATTTGCCATCCCTTCGCTCCATCTGTCCAATCCTCCTCCTTCCGTCCTCCTCTGACTTCAGTCCTCATGTTCCTCCTCCTCTTTGCCCCTCCTCGCGATCCTGAGGGTCGCCTTCTCGCTCCTGCAGGGTGTCAGAGAACCCTGGGGGTGCAGATTGCGAGTCCGCAAATGCCGCAAAGCGTCTCTAACAGAACGTGCAAATTGGAACCTACAGCTCGGAAGAAGCCGCGCACACTTCGTGCTTGAGCTCACGGAACCTGGGGGCCGTGTTTTCCTCCACCCGTCTGGCCACCAGTGTCTCACACAGACCTTCCCCATCCTCTCAAGATGGTCCTCGGCCATCACCGGCAACTCCGCGCGTGCGCGCACAGACAAATCGTGATCCTCGGAGGACGTAAAATTCTCCTCCTCCTGCTCCTCGAGGCCACCCTCCTCGTCTGCCGAACAGCAGCGTTGCACGGCAGAGGCTCGACTGGATGATCGCAAGACGGCGACTGCCAGGCTCGAGCCCAGGAGGGGCCGGCCCAGCACGGCCCTGGGGCAGGTGGTGGTGGTGGTGGCGGCGGAAAACCTGCGACGCCGTGATGAGTGCCATCCACGGCGCCTTGGGGCCAGAACCCTTTTCTTGTTTTGTTTTGTGTGTGTGCGTGTGTGTGTGTGTGTGTGTGTGTGTGTGTGTGTGTGTCAGTGTGTCTGTGTGTGTGTTCTGTGTTTGTGATTCTGTGTTTGTTAGTGGTTGTTCCTGCGCTGCCTGTTGCTGGACGTTGCTTGTCCAGACAGGAGACATGGGCAGCGCTGTGGGCGTGGGCGAGGGTGCCAGAGTCGGGGGGCCCAAAACGGGGTGGTGACCAGTGCACGGTTTTGGGACTCGGGCCGCTCTCTGAGCACGTCTTGGGCGACTGGGGCCTCCATCGAGACCTTCTAGACGGGGTTGTTGACTCGTATAATGCCCCCACCAGGGAGGCCGCCTCGGAGAGATCGACAGGGCGAGAGGGGGGAAGGTCGGGCCACGGCCCGTCGCCCTTGGACGATGTATTTTCCACTCTCCAGGCGACCACGTCGCTGGCGACTTGTGTGAGAGAGAGGCTAGCCACTCCGAGGGCCCGACGGCGTCTGAGGTCCAGCAGCGCCGGGGCCGAAAAGGCGTCGGCCAACCAAGTCCTGCAGCTCATTAACAGAACATTAACAGTACCTATATGCAAAGGGTGGCTCGCGGGCGGGGAGCAAAGAGGGGCTGTAGAGAGTTCTGTTCAGCCGTATCCTGGTACGGCACACGGTGGGGGGGCCCGCTGGACAACACATAGCGCGCGAGCACGTACAATGTTGACTCGTATAATGCCCCCACCAGGGAGGCCGCCTCGGAGAGATCGACAGGGCGAGAGGGGGGAAGGTCGGGCCACGGCCCGTCGCCCTTGGACGATGTATTTTCCACTCTCCAGGCGACCACGTCGCTGGCGACTTGTGTGAGAGAGAGGCTAGCCACTCCGAGGGCCCGACGGCGTCTGAGGTCCAGCAGCGCCGGGGCCGAAAAGGCGTCGGCCAACCAAGTCCCATATCACAAAATGGAGAGCAGCTGGGGAGAAAATCCCATAACACTCCACTGGCCCACGGCCGCAAAATAACTACTCATGCCAGAAAAGAGAGTCCACGAGCCTCGGCTTTGCAGGCGGCGGCCCGGACAGCAGGCGGAAGCTTTGTTACAACAAACCAGGGCATGCAACAAACTGCTCCTGTCCCAAGACATGTGCGAAGAGCTAACTACTCATGCCAGAAAAGAGAGTCCACGAGCCTCGGCTTTGCAGGCGGCGGCCCGGACAGCAGGCGGAAGCTTGCGGATGGCCGCGAGGAGGCGGCCAGCCTTCTCATATCTCTGCACGCTGCGGAAAGAGGCCCAGCGCCCGCGCGCCTGGATCTCGGGCAGCGTCCTGGCACGGCGGAGGAAGTCCTCGCTGGGCCCGCCGTGCCTGGCGAGGTGAGGCGTGACTTTGAAAGGGATGCCTACGGCCTGAGCGGCCCTCTGCAGCACTTTATTGTACGAGGCATACGTGTGGCTAGGGAGCAGCGTCTGCGAGCGAGAACGGCGAGCCTGGCGGATGAGCGCGGCGAAGGCACCGATCACGCCAGGTCGGCTGGCCTCATCAAGGAGGACGGTGTCATCCTGCACGCCGGTCTTGCTGGTACGGATGCCGATGAGATGGCCGGCCACCTGGCTGGACGGCGCGACGACCATCCCGTACTTGTTGTAGTGAACCCCAGCGTGCATGCCCGGCGTGAAGCACGCGACCAGGGGCATGAGCACCAGCTCCGAGGGCCGCAGGTAGGTGTCGAACTGCACAACGAGGCCGCGGGCGGCCTCGAGGTCCGACTCGACGCCAGTCCGCGACAGGTGGTACGCCATCAGCACCGCGGCCGACCACGGGAGGGGATCCGAAGTCGAGTCAGGCTCCAGCTTGCCCCAGCCAGCCATGGCAGCGCGAGCGAGCGGGAGGACCCCAGGCTGGCGGAGGCTGACGTTGAAGTGGTCGGCGACAGCAGCCAGCGCATACCGAGCGTCGCCCCGCGACCGCTCGGCTACGAAGAGCTCCTCGAGGAAGCGGTCGAGGGCGGCGTCCACGGCAGGGAGGTCGCGGGCGGTCCAGCGCGCCGGGTCCAGGCCCATCTGCGCGGCGAACTCGTGCAGGCTGGCGTGGTACCGCTCGGCGGTCGTGGCGGTCACCCTCGAGCGCCGGAGGAAGCCAGGGTTGTAGTCAGCGGGCTCCCGCCGGGCGCGCGGCCGCCGCGCGGCACCGGCAGCGGCGGGGCGCCGGCGCACTGGCCCGCGGCCCTCGGCCGGAGCCTCCTCCAGCGGGGGGCCTCGGGGGCCCCCAGACGCCGCCCCACTGCTCGGCGTCCGACCTCCAGAGCGGGGCCCAGCGCGAGGGACAGGTCGGGCACGGGAGCGCCCGAGGACCGAAGTCGCAACCCGCTGCCCGGCAGAGGTCAGCCTGCCATCGTTCCTCGAGTAGTGGAGCACCATCTGGCCTCTTGGCGCCGCGCGGCGCTGCCGCTGCCAAGATGCTGGCAGCGAGGTGGCAGGCACCCGGGGGGTACGCGCCGGCCAACGTGGTCTTCCACTGATGCTTGAGCCCTCCCGTGGGCGCACGGACACGTACCTTCCCAGACAAGTGCTCGTGCCTGTGGCCCCCTTCGCAGAGCAGGCCGATGTCGTGCAGGGCCCCCAGACTTGAGACGATGGTGGTGGGCTTCTTGTAGGGCGCGCCGAACCGGCAGCAGTGATAGGTAGCCCAGGAACGCGAGTGCTGGTCCAAGAACTTCCGGAGTGGGGCCCAACGGAAGAGGCCCGAGGACTGGGGGTTCTCCAGAGACCAGTGAATCCCGTAGCGGCTGCAGACCTCCAAGAGACGCACCGTGACGTGAGCGCACCGACGGGCCGCCCTGATGGCGGAGACCTCGCGAGCCCCTCGCCGAGAGATGGACCACGGGGTGCACGGGGTGCCGAAGTGGACGAACCAGACGGCCCGGGAGGTGATCCAGGAACGCACCTGAGACTCGACCTTCGGGTTGAGGAGGTCGCACCAGGGCCCGTGCTTGATGTCCATGGGGGCCGCGACGACGAGGCCCGCCTGGGCCAGGGCACCAGTCCAGCGCCCGCAGCCCGAGAAGACCTCCAAGGCAGCCCGGGGTCGCGGAGCCCGCGCAGCGGTCGGCGTAGTGGAAGCAGACGTAGCAGGAGGCCGAGAGGACGGACTGTGATCTGACGTTTCATCCACTCGAATTGGCTGCATCCTGGGCCCACACCGGCCCCAGCGGCCGGCCGAGCCTCGACAGGGCGGCGGCCGGCGGCGGGTGGAGCCCGTGCCTGCGACAGCGTGGCCGCCACGCGGCCGCCTCGGCCAAGCCACCGAGGGGGCCGGGAGGCCCGGCGGGGGCGCGAGCCAGGCAGGTTTGCGCGGCCCCTGCCGGCCTCGCCGAAGGAGCACGTCACGCGGGGGGGCCGGCACGCGCCTGGGGTGCCTCGGCGGGCCGTCGCAGGGGAGCGGCCGAGGGGTGTGACGGCAGAGGTCTGAATCCTCCCCCCCTCGTCGGCACGCTGGGTCCCCCGCGACGGCGGGCGCCGCCAAGGCGGCGGCAGCCCGAGCCGGCCCCGCAGCGCCGGCATCCTGCCCCAGGGGCGGCGGCGGGGGCGGGGCCGCACCGGGCCGTCCCACAGCCCCCGCGGCGCCGGCGCCAGGCCCCACGCGACGCTGTCCAGGGCGGTACAGCCCCTGCAGGGCCTTGCGCGAGCCACCATCGCTGATGTTCCTCTCTGTGTCGAGGTATCGGCGCCGCCAGCGGATGCCGGTGGCCACCTGGATGGCAGCACTGCGCCTGCACACGGAGCCGAGGCCGACGTCGACGGCGCGGCCCTTCTCGGTCGAGAGCACCTCGGCCATGTTGTCCCCGAGGCTGAGGACGCGGCGCCCGTGGCACTCGAGGCTCCTGGAGGCGTGTCGGAGCCCCGCGAGGGCGATTCGGGCCTCCAGGATGTGGATGGGCGCCCGCGTCCTCCAGGCACCTTCCACGACCAGCGACCAGGCGTCAGGGGCGACGAGCTCGTCGGGGATGTCCTCGAAGGTCGCCCGCCGCGGGGCCTGTGCAACCCGAGCCCGCACGGTACCGTGGGGGCGCTCGTCGGCCCTCCTCGGTGGCGGGGCCCAGGTCGCAATGCCGCAGCTGGGGTCCCCCTCACCGAGCACCCCTCCAGCGCCAGGAAGCCAGCCGGGCGTGTAGGTGTCGTCCTCCAGGGCCTCGGGCCGCTTCTCGTCGGGCGTGAAGCGCCAGCGCTCCCGAAGGCGCGCGAGTCGGCGCACCGCCTCGGGGTCGCAGCGCCGGCGGTGTAGGGCGTAGCCCGCCTCGGAGGAGTCGGAGCAGAGCACGATGTCCGACACGGGCGCGGCGAGGTCGACGACCGCCTGGAAGATGAGCCCTCGGAAGACACGGACCTCCTGCCGAGCGGGACCCGGCAGAGGCGAAGGCGGCCCGAGCCGGCACTCGTCCACGTACCTGTAGAGGTGGCGGAAGATGGACATGGCTGGCCGCAGGAGGAGACAGTGCTGGATGAAGTGCCCGAGGACGACCCGCACCTGCCACGCAGCACGGGGCACGCCCGGGCGCTCCAGCTCCAGGCAGGCGAGGTAGAGCCGCCAGGCCCGCTCGTCGGAGTGGCGAAGAGTCCGACGGAGGCCATCATACACCACGCCCACCATACCGAACTCGA